AACTGAATGCCCAGATACAGCATAGGTGGTGCCTTGCTCAACAGCGATAACTGTGAGAGGGATCTTGGAGTCCTAATGGACAATTTCTTAAATAGGAGCCAGTCGTGAGTAGCAGCTGCCAAAAAAGCCAACACAGTCCTAGGCTGCATAAACAGAGGGAGAGAATCAAGATCATGTGAAGTGTTAATACCACTTTATAAGGCCACATTTGGAATCCTGCATCCAGTTTTGGTCACCACAATACAAAAATGATGTTGAGACTCTAGAAAAGGTGCAGAGAAGAGCAACAAAGATGATTAGGGGACTGGAGTCTAAAACATATGATGAGTGGTTGCAGGGACTGGCTACATCTAGTCTAACAAAGAGAAGGACTAGGGGTACATGATAGCAGTTTTCCAATATTTGAGGGGCTGTCACAGAGAAGTGGGGTCCAAAGCACTAATTGCAGGAAAGAAGCAATGGGTGGAAATTAATTAAGGAGAGAACTAATGATAAATTTCCTGACAGTGAGAACAATTAACTAGTGGAACAGCTTCCCTCCAAGAAGTTGTGGGTGCTCCATCACTGGAAGTTTTTAAGAAGAGATTGGAGAGTCATTTGTCTGAAACGGTGTAGGGGCTCCTGCTTGAGCAAGGGGTTGGACTAGAAGACCTCCAAGGTCCTTTCCAACTCTATTATTCTGTTATTCTTATTCAGTTTTCCGATGTAACTTTTCATTAGTTATCCCATCAGTGAACCAAGTCAAATGTTAATTGGTGAAGGAAAATCCCTCTGTTTAAATATAAAATCTCGAATTCTAAGGGAATTAGACTAGAAACCTCTGCAGTCCTTTACAACTCTGTCATTCTATTATTTTATTATTAATGCCAATCTACATGTTTGTGAGAGATGCAGAATTCCTATTTCTAGAGGCGAGCGAAGAGTTTTGAAATCAAAATATTCTAACTTTGGCATATCTTTTTCCAAGCTTAGAAAAGGCCGCTGTGGTCTCTATTTGATTTCCTTTTCAAGACTGAAACCCTGGCATTGATATATTCTCAAAAAAAAAAAAAAAAAGAAAGAAGATGGAACACTATTGTAGAATTTGAACAGATCTGGTTCAGAATGGTGGCAGCTGTTAAAATGTGCATGGTACCCACAGTACTGTTTCTATTTTGTACTCTCCCAATAAAATTAAAGATAACACTTAGAAACTGACAGTACATAGTTGCTTATTTTGCCTGAGGTGAGAACTGCAGATTACATAAGACTCTGTTAAAGAAATAAATTAAATGGGACCAAATCGGCATGAGGCAAGGGGGAGAACTCAGTTTGGTTCACATTTTAATGGGAACAAATGTATTTTCCATTTCCCAAACTTATATACAAACGAGATCCCAACAAACCTTCCATTCCTTGGATTCCCAATAATTTACTTTTCCCGAGTAAAAGGAAATTCAGGCCAAAAGACATGCTTTTAGGAAAACATTGCTTGCTTTGCAACTGCAATTCTTTTTCAATGAAAAGCTCAATGGAAACAATCCACCATAAAATGAGGCAAAATTCATTTAAGAAATGATTCACTTAGCAACAGAAATTTTGTGCTCATTTGTGGTTGTAATTCAAGGGTTATCTGTATTTTTGCAGCAAGAATGGGAGATAGATAGAGCACGTTCTCTGCATAAACGAAATAAAAGAATAAGTGCAAGAATGTGAATCAGTTGCAATTCATCCTGAGCCAACAATAACATGATTATTATTTTTATTTTTTTCTTAAAAAAAAAAAAAAGAACCCTTAAAATCTCAAGGAACATTTATGAATGTCAGTAACATCTCACAGGGATTTCACGGTATTCATTGCTTCACTATACATCCCGAGCTTCATAAAATTAAAAAATACATTTAGAAGGGGAGAAAAATTACATTCATCTGAAGCAGGGAGAAAATAAATGAGGGCTGGAGCTAATTGGGGCCATTTTCTAAGCACAAAACCATTTCACAAAGTTAATCCTACTACAAAAAGCTTTCATTAATTGGTAATTAAACATCCAGGATGCTCAGGGACTGTCAAAACTGTGAAGCTAACGTTATAGGTCCTACAGCTTAGCACTCACTTTTAGTGTGAAAAGCGTTGTGCTGAAAGGCAGTTTAGAAAAGGAAGAATGTCCAAGACACTCATTCCAAAATGTGTAATAAATATGAGCATTTAACAGAACAGAATAACAGAGTTGGAAGGCACCTTGGAGGTCTTCTAGTCCAACCATGTCCATTCTCTTCTTCAAAGCATTCAATGTTGGAGCAGAACTTCTGAAGGCAACTTCCATTCCACTGCTTAATTATCCTCACTGTTAGGAAGTTTCCCCTTAACTCAAGGTTGCTTTTCTCCATGACTAGTTTCCATCCATTGCTTCCTCTCTTGCCTTCAGGTGCTTTGGAGAATAGCTTGACCCCCTCTTCTTTGTAGGAGGTCCTCAAATATTGGAAGACTGCTATCATGTCTCCCCTAGTCCTTCTTTTCACTAAACTAAAAGATAAAGGTTCCCCTTGCACATCCGTGCTAGTCGTTTCCGGCTCTAGGGAATGGTGCTCATCTCCATTACAAAGCCGAAGAGCCAGCACTGTGCAAAGACGTCTCCATGGTCATGTGGCTGGCAGGATTAAACACCTTTGAAGGCGCACGGAATGCTGTTACCTTCCCACCCAAGGGGTCCCTATTTTTCTACTCGCATTTTTTTTTACATGCTTTTAAGCTGCTAGGTTGGCAGAAGCTGGGACAAGTAACGGGAGCTCACTCCATTAAACGGCGCTAGGGATTCGAACCGCTGAACTGCCGACCTTCCTGACTGACAAGCTCAGCATCTTGCAACCATTCTTCACATTTTTAGCCTCCAGTCCCCTAATCTTCTCTGTTGCTCTTCTTTGCACTCTTTCCAGAGTCTCAACATCTTTTTTATATTGTGATGACCAAAACTGGATGCAGTATTCCAAGTGTGGTCTTACTAAGGCTTTACGAAGTGGTATTAGAACTTCATGTGATCTTGATTCTATCCCTCTGTTAATGCAGCCTGGGATTGCATTGATTTTTTTTGGCTGCTACGGCACACCGCTGGCTCATATTTATGTGATTGTCCAGCAGGACTCCAAGATCCCCCTCACAGTTATTACTATTGAGTGAGATACCATCTATACTATATCTACACATTTGATTTTTTTTTCTTGCCTAAGTATAAAACCTTACTTACTTTTAGAGTGAGCTTTAGAGAAAGGCATTCTTTGTTTTGTTCGTGATTTGATTCTCTGGGCCACAATACATAAGAATAAACAAACATGCCCAAATCTTTCTAATATTTGTGATGTTCCCATCCTTAAATTAACTAGTGTATTTTACCCCTTCTGAAATATGCTGATGTAGTTCATTGGTTGTCATTTGTCAATAAACACTTTGCAAATGCACATTTTTTGGTGGGGAAATGTAATTTTTAAACATGTTTTAAGCAAATGAAATGGATTTAGGAATAACCGCATTCTTTTTTAATGACCAACATTCCAAAACATTTAGGGAATACTGGATGTCATTATTCACAACAAAAACAACAGTTGAGGGATATATTAGTTTTATCTCTATGGCTCGGTGCCAAATATTTGCATTTTTGTGTTTGTGATTAGAAGAATTTTTGCTTGTACATTGGAGAACGCTAGCGTTCTGCTTCATTGTTTTTTAAGTGGTCAATAAACTGCAGAGGAAAAGGATTAGAAAAAGAAAAACATACTTTAGTCTTTAGAAAAATCCATCCATGACTTTGAAGCCAAGCTTATATATATTTTAAAAAATGATAAGAAGAAACGCAACATTTCTTCATCACTGAGAGATTTGCTGCTTAAAGGGAATGCAATGCACCAAAAGTAAATTTGCCAAACTTCACTTCTGTTCAACTCACCTGATTTATAATCTTGGGATTTATATCAAGAAGCCCATAATGGAGACATTGTGTGAGTTTTGTTTGTTTGCCTTTCACCCGGAAAGAAGGAATAAGGGCTACTGTGAATATTTCTAGTGTTTTGGTGACCCAAGCACATTTTATAATCTTGTAAGAAATAGGATTAATCGCAGTCTTGATCTGCTGGGCAAACAGGCAGTGGTGAGGTTGTTTTGAGAAAGTCTACACGTTTCCGTGTCAAAAGTCTCTGACTCGTGTAGGTAGATGATGGATTCTGCCAATCACCTTCACCTTTGGCCTGGTGTTTTGTGATCCAAAAGATGTCACAAACAGAACATCCCAGATTAAACAGGAGAATCTCCTTATTAGCATAAGAAAACCAAGAAAATGTCAATGTAACCTTCCCAATGGAAAGCATAAAGCCACATAGACTGGGTGAAACTGGGCTCAACAGCAGTAAATGTAAGAGGGATCTTGGAGTTCTAGTGGACAACCAGTTAAATAGGAGCCAGCCATGTGCAGCGGCAGTCAAAAAAACCAATGCAGTCCTAAATTGCATCAACAGAGGGATTTAATTAGATCAAGGGAGCTACTAATGTAAAGGGAGCTACTTTATAAAGCCATAGTAAGACTACACCTAGAGTACTGCATCCAGTTTTGGTCATCACACTATAAAAAAAATATTGAAACTCTAGAAAGAGTGGAGAGAAGAGCAACCAGGATGATTAGGGGACTGGAGGCTAAAACATATGGCCATTACAACAACACTTCCCATGTGGTCAATAAGCAAGACAAAGAAACCACAACTTTCCCTTTTTCAATTTCACTGCTGGGTTCTCCATTGACTCCACTTGTTGGGAGTCATCTATGAAGCACGCAAATAGGAATTGCATGACTTCAGGTCACTGCAATAGGTTGTAAGGGTGAGGACCGGTGGTGCAGCAGCAAATATTTTTAGCGCCCTCCTAACATCAAACAGCGACAAAATAGAGCAGTTGTTAAGCGAGCCCTACCTCAAAGGAGTCCTATGTTTTTTTTTATTTATTCATTTTTAAATAAATGGGTGGACGAACAATCAAAAGGTAACATTTGTTTCATGTATTTATTGAACATTCTTGAAACAAAAGGGGGAATCATTTCTAGGTGCTCTACATTTTGACGTTGTGGTAGGGTGGCTTTCGGCTTGTTATATCATCGGCAGCTCCTCTCTTCAGGACAGGTTGCTGGTCTTCCTTCTCAGATGAAAGAAAATTCACACACCACTAAGAGGTCTTCCTCGCAGGACCCAGAGCGCCAGGCTCCCTGCGCATCTGCTACCACGCACTGCTTGGTCCCACCCGCGGTATTCGGTTCTCCCGCGGCCCAATTAGTGAACTTTGCTGAGTCATGGACGACAAGATAGGCTCCCTTGTTGTGCCTCTCCAAAACACTTGCAAAGGCCTTATTCTCATTTTGGAGTTGAGGGGAAGGAATCCGGCCACCGGCCCGGGCACATATGTTTCCGAGAGCTGCAAATTTCCCTACTTCCTTGTTAGTCACATATAATCTCTCACTGCCACTCCCAAAGGATCGAGCTAGAAACACAATGAAGAAGCACATGTTTGACTGCAGAAAATGCTCCACAACTCATGTTATTTTTTCGTGTGTTCCCTTCACTAGATATAGGGCAACAAGCATATTTTGACAAGAAGAGGACGACAAGATAGGCTCCCTTGGGTGTTTTTTTTTACTTAGTCCCAAAAGGAAATGCCTCCAAGATCAGCAGAGAGAGTGAAAAATCAGGGACTTGCAAATGGGCCAAACAGCATTAATAATTTCTGGGGGTTTTTTTAAGTTAAAAAAAAAATCTGGTCCTTTTTTTTTTTTGGAAGAGAAGCAGTCAACAGTTCTGGACTTCCAACCAAACCGCTCTGCTTCTGATCTGAAATAGGACTTTATTCTAGTTTCCTGCTGAAAATATCCCTCCTCCCAGGAGACCCATTTAAAGTAAACTGCATGTGGACAAAAAGATGACAGGAAAGCCATCTGGCATCTCTTCAAAAGAATTGTGGTTTACTTAAGCAAGCTCTTTCAAAGATGTGCCATCTCAGGTAATGCATCCTAAAAGAGTAGGAGACTCTGCACAACAGCACTTGTCACACTCCAGAATACGTCTGGAAAGAAAGCATGAAGTGATACAAAAAAAAATCTATATCTTTCAGCATCTCACATCATTTGGCCATGTCATGTAGGGGAATTCATTGGAGAAAGCAATTATAGTTTGGAAGAGTTAGCGGTAAAAGGAAACCAAGGTGCCAAAATACACGATGGCTAGAAAAAAACTGACCCCAGCCAGAATATAGAACAATTCAAAGATTGGAAGATGTGTTTAGTTATCCATATATTAACTGCTGCCAGAAAATTTGCACAACATTGGAAGAGTGAAGAGATACCTACAGATGAGATGAAATATTAGAATGTGCAGGAATGAATACATTAATGCTGGCAATTAAGGAGAAAGAGCAAACTGAATACTGTATGGTATGGGATCTATTTTATCAATGGTTAAATAATAAAAATGGGAGTTAGAAACAGGGAAACAAAATAAAGAAGATACGTTAAAAGAGATAAGTAAATATTATGACTAGTATGTTGAATATCTCTATGTTAACATTGTAGACTTAATATTAATGTAATGAAGGATGTTGTAATCTTGATTATTGTTTAACAATGATACTTGTACCCAGAAGATGTTCAACCAAAGATGGAATGATTATACTAAAAAAAAACTTATTTAAAAAAAGATTGGAAGATGTGGAGATACCAGGCCCATAGAATTGCCAAGAGTCAGACATGACTCAGTGGCTAACCTCATTGTCATCGTCATCCATATGTTTTAGCATCCCACTGAAAAGGAACAGTGATGGAAGCTTTGAAAAAGGAACCGTTGGCAATGTTGTGAAATGATGGGATATACACATTATGGAAAGGGTGTTTTGGATTTGGTGCAAATAGAGAATTTCTCTGCTATTCCCACAAGGATCTTGACTTTTTTTCAAACTTTTTCAGAGTCCCCCCCCCCCCCCCAAAAAAAAAAAAAATCCTGTGATTTTAGGGATGCATTCAGTCACCCGAAGATGGCTCTTGAAAGAGTCCCAATTTTTTTTATAGAGAAATGGGAAAAGGCCATAATGGACAGCATTTGTTCCAAACGATGAATATTATTTCATTTCCCATATTCTGGAGAAATCAATGCAATTCTCTCAAGAGGAGCAATCAACTTCCATCAGAGTTCTCCAGTTCTCTTCCTAAAAACTGAGGGAATCTCACCACAGTGAGGCAGGCTCATTGGACAGAAGCTCAGTAGTAATTGGAAAAGTATCCTGCCTCAAAATAATTGGAACAGGACCACCAAGAACTTCAGATGTCTAACAGATGGCAACCAAAAGATTAAAAAAAAATATTTTTTGGCAGCCCTTTGCTGTCTCTTATGATCGTCAGAGTTTTTGCAACCCAGATCTGGTATCCCTTGCTTTGACTGCTTCTCAGCATTGAGTAAGGTTGGATCTCAAATGACTGTAAATCAGTTCAGGAAATCAGGAGATTCTTCCAGTTTGGGGCCATTCTCTATGGGTTTGGAAGCTTCAGACTGGGCTAAGAAAAGATGCCTAGGTTGTTTCTGCTGTTTTCATTTGATTAGACAGCAACCCAGCAATCCACCAGAATTCCACCAGAGAAGATAAAATGGTGGCTTCTCCACCACATGTATCATGTGTGACAGGCCTGAAAAAGATTGCACAGTCCCAGTTCCTATTTTGACCCCCTGCCTCTATAGACACCCTAAGACACGGGTCTCCAACCTTGGCAACTTTAAGCCTGGAGAATTTCAACTCCAAGAATTCCCCAGCCAGCTTTGCCCTAAGAGGCAGACAGGTATTCAAATTTAACTGAAATGAACACACAACACAACCTTTGGGAGAAAAGCCAGGTTTTCTTACCTCTGTGGACTGTAAAAAAGGCATTTTTCACCTCTTCTATCTTTTTTTCAAGCCTCTCTACAGCGGCAGCCACAGAATTCAGTACTAGAAAGGAAAACAGCATCCCATTATTGGAGTCCCAGAAGGCAAGCCAAGTTGAACCAAATTGGTGGGCATTCAAACAACGAGCAGCTATTCTTTCTTGGACCTGCCTATTGATCCTTCAGGTGAACACTAGGCCCCTTGGCTTAATAGATATTGGTCCTCAGACGAATGCATGAAATGGCTTTGGGTGGGGAATTAGATCATTGCCTCATTTTCTAGCCTCCTTGAACCTCTCCCTCCGTGAACAAGAAGGACTTTAGCAAGACTGCTTTCCTGACTACCCCATTCCAGATGGGAATTCACACACTGGAAAGCTTTTCCGAAGAACAGACAACCTTGCTTTACAAGCCTTGCTGTGCTGATTTCTACAGCTATGATTTGTTCATTGTTGGTTTGTTCATTTCATCAGTGAAATATCTCGAAGGAGTTCTTTAACTAACTCTGCTCTCCAGGAGCCTTTTTGCATTCAGATAACAGTATAATGGAATAATGGAAGGGACCTTGGAGGTCTTCTAGTCTAACCCCCTGCTCAGGTAGGAGACACTATGCCATGTCAGACAAACGTCTCTCCAATCTCTTCTTAAAAGCCTCCAGTGATGGAGCATCCACAACTTCTGAAGGCAAGCAGTTCCACTGGTTAATTGTCCTCACTGTCAGAAAGTTTTTCCTTAGTTCAAGGTTGCTTCTCTCCTTGATTATTTTCCATCCGTTGCTTCTTGTCCTGCCTTCAGGGGCTTTGGAGGGTTGATCCCTTAATCTTTGTAGGAGCCCCCCAAATATTGGAACACTGCTATCATGTCTCCCCTGGTCCTTCTTTCCACAAGACGAGACATACTCAATTCCTGTAACCATTCTTTGTATGTTTTAGCCTCTAACCACCCCACCAATCATCTCTGCACTCTGTGCTGCATTCAGATAACAGGAATGGCACCCATGCACTCCCACTTCTGCCCATGTGCTAAGCCCCCTCCCCATTCTCAAATATAGGTTAAAATGGTCACATTGTCCTTCAGGATCCGTATCATGTCCGTTGGCCAGAGATGTTCCCAAAAGAAGAAGACTGGACAGCAGGGGGATCAAATGCATCTTTTGACCATATAACCTGTACAATTCATAGAGACAAAGTTACTGTAGCATGCATGTGGTTTTTAAATTCACATTCTAGCTTGCTCAGAAAATGCATAGCCAAAGATACAATCCTAGCCCAATCTAATAATTTTTGATACACATCTGCACAAATCACTAATTTAACAAACTACAAGCATGCATTAAGCATACTTTCTAGCCCACTCATTAGAATATCCAGCAGAATGGCTCTTAGTAACTACACAGTTCTTAATTAGTTATCATATATTGCAAGCAAATTGTTTCTCTGCACTTACACTCTGGATTCTCTTCTACAGTAGATGTGGCACCCAGAAACTACCGTCCTCCCAGTGTAAGAGTTATTTTATATCAGTCATGGATTGGGCAACATGAAGGGTTGTGCAAACTGATTGCTCAAGGTGATACCCCCGTCTTTTACTTTTCCTCCTCCCCGAGGTCAATAATAGCTGTTTATTTAAGAACAGCCTGGACTTTCCGATTGAAAGCTTACAAAAACTGGAAATTCTCCAGTCAAAAAAAGGAGAGGCCAAATATGAGGAAATGTTGGAGAATACAGTGTGTGTGCATGTGAATGAATGTCCCCAAAAGATTTTGCAACACTTTGCAGTAAAAACATAGAACCTTGAGGTTTCATAACTTTGTGGAATGATCTCTTCAGGATTACACTAAACAAATCCAGAATTTTTAAACCACCATAACTTCAGCTTAGACAGAAAGAGATTATTTGAAAAAGGGCATTGTATAAACAGTCAAAAACTGAGTTTAGCCTGTGCTTAGAGGAGAAACTGAGAAAGAATTAAAGGAAACTGAGCTTGATAAAAAATAGATTTGCCAGTTCTGGAGGTATTTATTGCTTGGAATATCCCTGAATAGATTTATAGGGTGATTTTTTAGTAGTTAGAATCTGGAAATTGTGATTTTTCTCACTCTTCATCCCCGAAGTAGAATCTTCTTATATATCTATTTGCAACTGTTTTTTTTTTTTTTAAAGTGTGGATTTTCACGAATGCATATCCATATGCCTTCATTTACAGGTATTGTCCACATTTTCCCCCTCTATCTAATCTAATCTAATCTCTAACCCTATAAGAGGCTTCCTTAACATAATGCTATTTTGCATGTTTTGTGTGTGAGAGACCCATAAGTGTACATTTCTAGTTTGGAAAATGCCTTTGAAAGCTCTCAGAAGTGTGAGAGCATAACTGCAGACCAAGGGTTGTGTTTATTTTAAAGGGGCATGTTTATTCTTGCCTAAATCCAAATAGAATCTAATTTTACTTTCTCCCTAGCTTTCGATTGCCTCTTACCACTTCTGACTGAGGGCGCTATTCTTTTCAAGCAAACTATGTCTGACGAATGAAGGTGAATCTACGTGTCTCAGGATAACGTTGCAGGATCCAATCTGGGTCATTCACCGGGACCAGAGCTTTTTGTCTTCCAGACTTTTGGACTCATGTTGGAGCCCATCTCTGGGAGTTTCTCTCTAGCAGAATGTGTTCTGTTCAGCGTGTGATATTTATAGCGCACATAGTGCCATCAACACACCCCAATCAACACCTAAAAAGCCACAGACAACAGGCACTATAAATACCACGGACAGAAAAGAAACACACTATGTTAGAGAAAAGTTCCCTGAGGATGGGTTCCAGCACAAGTCCAAAAGCTCAGAAGAGAAAAGATCTGGTTCTGGCAACCAACCCAGGTGATATCCTGCAAAATACGTCTGGTCATTGCCATTTATGCATTTATGCCCAGGTTGGATCCTGCAACGTTATCCTGGGACACGTAGATTCACCTTCATTTGTCAGACATATTTTGCTTGCAAAGAATAGCATCCTCTGAAGGCCAGACAAGGAATATCAATTAAGGAGAACATGACTATTAATTTATGGAGGAATATAAACGAAGGCAAGCTTGCAACTACAGAGATGCAATCAGTTTTGGTCACCACACTATAAAAAATATGTTGAGACTCTGGAAAGAGTGCAGAGAAGAGCAACCAGGATGATTATGGGACTGGAGGCTAAAACATATGGTGAAAGGTTGCAGGAACTGGGCCTAGTGAAGAAAAGGACCAGGGGAGACAGGATAGCAGTCTTCCAATATTTGAGGAGCTGCCACAGAGAGGAGGGGGTCAAGCACCCGAAGGCCAGACAAGGAACAAGTGAACAAGGAGAGATTCAACCTGGAAATAAGGAGAAATTTTCTGACAGTGAGAACAATCAACTAGTGGAACAGAAGTTGCCTTCAGAAGTTGAGGGAACTTCATCACTGGAAGCTTTCAAGAAGAGATTGGATTGCCATCTGTCAAAAATGGTGTAGGATCTGCAGCTTGGTTGGGGGATTGGACTAGATGACCCACAAGGTCCCTTCCAACTCTGTTAATCTGTCTGTCTGTATCCCACTATTATAGACGTACAAAACATACTCTATATGTACACAAATACACACCATCCTTTTCTCTCTTCCCACAAGTCTGTTTGCTGTGACGCATCCGTCAAATATGTATGCATGTTATGCTTGTAGTGTGTTATTCAACAGTGGCAAAATAAACATCTCCCTCTTATGCATTCGACTGTTGAAAAGAAAATGCATCAGTTTTTTTCCCTCATCACAGATATGTGTCTCTGTATACACACAAATAGAAACTTTACACAAGCTCACTTCTGTAATAAACTGGCTCAATAGATAAAACACTATCTCAGTTCCAAATATTCCTTTGTTGGATTTCATAAATCTATTCAAGGTAAGGCACAGAGCATTCTCCTTATTTTCCCCCACAGTGGTAGCCACTTGAAATAGAGCAACTGATGAAAATATTTTGGAAAGCATCAAAGTGTTCACTTTTTCTTCTGGATTGTGCTGATCTGACCACTCCAGAATTGTGCAGCAAGTTTCTGAAAATTAATCTTCTGGAACAGGAGGTGATTCTCAAAGATCTGGAATGTAATGGACCCATAAGAGAAAATGACAGGTCCAAAGTCACCCTATAATGAGGGATCCTTGGTGCTCTCTGAGCGTGGTTGTTTTCTTGCAGACATTTCATTAACCAAAATAGGTAACATCATCAGTGCTAGAAGGGAGACGGGTTTCAGAGGAGGAGGAGGAGAAGAAGGGAAAAGGAGGAAGAGTAGGACAAGGAGAAAGGGAAAGAAAGGGAGGAGGAGGAGGAGGAGGAGGGGAAAGGAGGAGGAGGAGGAGGACAATGACTATGGGGTCCTTGGTGCTCCCTGAGCTTGGCTGTTTTCTTGCAGACATTTCATTACTCAAACTGGGTAACATCATCAGTGTTAAAGGAATCTTTTTTCCTCAAAAGGCAACTGGAGCACTTTTTCCCCTTGAGAAATAAGAAGAAAATGTTTCATTTCACATCTAAGAACCTTCATCGGTTCTGAATTTTCAGAACAATAAACCACTTTTGAGGTGGATGACTCAGAACTTTCACAGATATTCAATCAATGCTAGTTTGGGTAATGAAACGTCTGCAAGAAAACAACCAAGTTTAGAGAGCACCAAGGAGCCCTCATTTCAACCCTAAGCTACAAATATTCTCCTTGGTAGTCCCAAAGTTGCTTCTTCAAGAGGCAACTGGACCTCTTCAAAAAGCACCTTTGGGAAAACCATGACCTGGATGAGTGAGGATCTCCATAGACATTCTCCTTGGTATCATCCTGTGATCTTCCATGGCTGAAAATGGATTTGAACTTGGTTCTCCTCATATGAGCCGAGCACCTTTACCACAACATAGATAACAAAGACTGAATGCACTAATTATCACATTAGGAAAACCTTCTACACACCAATTCCACCCACACTTTCTACAATTTTGTAAACAACAAACTAAAAGACTCAAGGTCCATCCCACCCCTGAAAGGACCTAATGGTAAAGACTGCAATGATGACACCATTAAAGCCAACCTCTTTAACATACTCTTTGGCTCAGTATTTGTAAATAAATAAAATAAAATAAATAAAATAAAATAAATTTGTAAAATGGATCAAGCCCAGTATTTCCTAGTCGAACCACAGACAACTACAATGATCTAATACATATCGATTTTACAGAAGACAATGCTGAAAAAGCACTGTGCAGTTTAAAACCATCCTCATCTATTGGACTGGATGGAATATGCACCTACTTCTTTAAAAAGCTATCCACTGTCATAGCCAAACCTCTAAGCATAATCTTCTAAAAATCTTTCAGGACCAGCTCCTTGCCAAAACTATGGTCACAAGCCACGGTCATCCCCATCTTCAAAAAAGGAGACCCCAGCCTAGTTAAAAATTACAGACCAATCTCCTTATGCTGCGTCACCTGTAAAGTCATAGAATCAATTACTAACCAATCCATTATCCTCCACTTAGAGACAAACAACCTACTCTCTAATAAACAATTTGGTTTCAGAAAAAAATTATCCTGTAATCTACAACTCTTACACTGTAAAAACATATGGACTACACAACTCGATCAGGGCAAAGCAATAGACACAATCTACATAGACTTCTGTAAAGCCTTTGATTCAGTGGTACACGACAAACTACTCCTAAAACTAAAATTTTACGGTATCTCTGGACACCTGCATAACTGGATAGAAGCATTCCTCTCAAACAGACAACAAATGGTCAAAAATGGGAGTGTCCTATCAAATTCTCTACCTGTCAACAGTGGTGTCTCCCAAGGCAGTGTTCTAGGACCAACTCTCTTCATACTCTACATAAATGACCTCTATGATCATATTAAGAGCAACTGTGTTCTCTTCGCTGATGATATAAAGCTATTCAACACCACAGACAATACTGCTACCCTTCAAAAAGATCTTGACTATCTATCAGAATGGTCAAACAAATGGCAACTTCAAATCTCAACAAATAAATGCTCTGTCTTACACATTGGCAAAAAAAATCAGAAAATAAAATACAAGCTGAATAGTCAAGACCTTGTTGATGATCCAGACTTTGTCAAGGACCTTGGAGTACTCACCTCTAATGATCTAAGTGCTAGAGCCCACTGTAACTACATAGCCAAAAAGGCGTTAAGAGTTGTTAACCTAATCTTACATAGCTTTTTCTCTGGTAATATTACACTACTAACTAGAGCATACAAAACATTTGCTAGACCAATACTCGAATACAGCTCATCAGTCTGGAACCCACATTACGTATCTGATATTAACACAGTTGAGAAAGTCCAGAAATATTTCACCAGAAGAGTTCTCCATTCCTCTACTCGTTGCAGAATACCTTATGCCACCAGACTTGAAATTCTAGACCTAGAAAACCTAGAACTACACCGACTTCGGTCCAATCTAAATATAGTATATAAAATCATACATTGCAATGTCCTACCTGTCAATGAATACTTCAGCTCCAACCATAACAACACAAGAGCA